TTGCCACATCGATGGCATGTTGTGTAGTTGTTGTTTCCTTTTCCTTTTGATTTGCTGTAGTTTCCTTGGCCTTTGTAGCCTTTGCTTGATCCATATCCTTTGGATCCTGAGTAGCCTTTTCCTTTGCTCTTGTTGTATCCTCCTTTGTTGTAGTTTCCTTTGCTGCCTTTGTCGAATCCTTTGTAGTGCCCTTTACTCCTGTACTTGCCTTTGCTCTTGCTTCCTTTGTAGCTGCCTTTTCCTTTTCCTTTTCCTTTGTAGTTTCTTCCTTTCCTCCATATGTTGTCAACATCCATTGGAGCAGCTCCTCCATTGTAGTTTGTTCCTACTGCTGAAGTAGATCTAGTGAAGGCTGAAATCGTCTGGTAGTAGTCCAAGATGAGTGCTCTGATTTCGATGTAGTTCGTGATCTGTCCAGCTCGCAGTTGGAGGTGTTGCTGCAGTGCTCCTTTGGTTTTGTTGAGTAGAATTGCTATATTGATTTCATCTGGTAGTGCTGTTCCATTGTCTTTCTCGTAGCGGTTGATGTCGTATTCCCATTGTAGAAATTGTTCTTCAAACTGCGCTTCGTTGAATGTAGGTTCCAGTAGTTTGGTAAGGTAGCCAACGCTTCTTGTTCCTACTGGTAGGCTGAACCTGTTGTGTAGTAGTCGTAGTTTTTCCTATCCGTTTGCGTTGTAGCGGTTTTGCCTTACTACTGTAGCTGCTGCTCCCTGACAGATGTTGATGAGGATGTAGTGTAGATCTCGTGAGAGGTCTACTGCTTTTGTTGCTTGTGTAGGGTCGCGTATGTGGGCTCTTATGTCTGTGTCCTCAATCTGTCGTGTAGCCACTTGTGCTAGGTGGTGGCAGTTTGTATCTATGTAGTCTCTGAACGTCGTTGTCTTGTTCTGTTCCTGCTCCCGTAGTTGTGGCTCCTACTGTGTCTGCTGTTGGCCCGTTCTCTGCTCCTGTAGTTTGTTGTGCTGAGGCTGATGCTGCTTCTCCTGACATGTCGTAGTAGTTTGGCATTTGACTGCTGTTGCTGTGGTTGTAGTACTTACTGCTTACTGGAGCTCCCCTATGTTTAGGATCTCAGCTCCGCTACCACGTTAAAATCGGTGGTTACTTTGCTTCCAAGTGCAAGTGCTGTAGTGTTCAAACAAACAGTCAACCGATTGTAGTCTGCAGCAATCCACCTTTTACACGTGCGATGTAGTGAGCTCAAGGCCTGCAGTACATGCAACACAAATGCAGGAAGTGAAGCATGTAGTTTGATAAGAGAGAGAGAGAGAGAGAGAGAGAGAGAGAAAAAGAAAAAGAGGCAGTAATACACAAACAGACAGATAGAAACAGAAATGCACAAACACAAAAAACACAGATTGAGATACACCGAGATACACAAAGACAGACAGAGAAAGATAAAGATTAGATTGCGAAATAGATAGATATAAACACACGGAAACAGACTGGGAGACTTAAAAAGAGGCAAAAATACGGAGACGCCCGGCACAAAATTTTCGCGACTCGGTCAGGTCCCCAAATTTCCCGAAATTTGACCCGATAATTTTTTCGGAAAGCCGCCAAATTCTAGAGAAATTTGTGGGGGTAACGTCCGGAAACCTAAGAGCCGCATCGCCGGAAGCGACCCACAATTCGGGGAATACGCCATGGGAGCTCTGAGCAAAAAAATAAGAACACCCCGAAATTTTGCTGAAATTTCGGGACCGTCCGAGCCGCGCGAAGAAGCGGGGGGCTTGTGCCGCGGAGAAAAGACATCCTTTCTTGAAATCTTAGTCTCAGTGGCAGCATCGGACGAGCTGGTTGGCTTGACCGGGGAGGTGGGCCCCTTAGGAGATCCACTCCTTGACCTTGGTGCAGTCCGTTGGGCGTGGTTACATCACCAAACTTCGGCAGAGAAAGGATTGCCTAGCTCCTCATACCGATCGGTCAACTCTCCTGTGCCTCATTCCTGTAAATGCTCCGCAGCGAGTCTGCGCCATGGACTCAGCTTTCCTGGCCTTAACGAATACCTCCGTAGCTTTGTCTTCCGCTTTTCTCTTGCCGTTCCTTGGCCAAATACTCAAAATTCCGGTTTCCCATGCTCCAACCATGAAGACTGTCATTGAACTGCGCATGGAGTCATATTGTTTCTGAAGAGCACTGTACTGAGTCCGGGCCATACTGTCGACCCATTTCATGTTCTTCTTCATCAGCACAGCTTGTTCCTCCGCCATTTCGGTAGAGACTGGCATGCCGTTCAAATGATCCCTCAAACGATCAACTTCCAGCTTGGCTCGGCTTTCCACATCACTAGGTTGTGTCCTCGCCTCACTGCTGATCTGAAGCTTGAAAGCCTCAACTCTTTCAGCATTTTGGAACTATCCTTGTTGGTAACAAGGTTGTTCTGGTACATCTGTGCACCCCGCAACTTGGCCTGCATAGTCGATTCCTCTTGCTTCACTGTCTCTCGAAAACGTTCATTCTCATGATTCAGCTTGGCCCGTAACTCGGTACCAGAGCTTATCATGGACTGCTATTCGTTTGTGGTTTCGATTGCTTCCGCAACGAAGTTGACATCTCGCTGTTCTCAGCCCGCATCTTCTAATTCTCATTGTTGGAGTCATGAGCTACTGTTTCAACTTCACTCAGCCTGTTTGACGTGATGTCCAACTGACCAATCGCCAAGTTGTATTCGTCTCTCATTCTACTATGAACATGAGCAACTTGGGATTCAAGGGCATGGTTCATTCTCTCAAGCTCCAGTTGCTCTGCAGGCTTGCCGCCTCATCGGGTTCCAGTCTGTCTGACCGCAACGATGCACATCACTTCTTCAATGCATTGCTCTCATCAAGCTGCTCTGCAGCCTCATTCATTTGTGCTTCCGCTTTCGTTTGGGCTTTCCGCTGTTCATCATCGAGTTGTTGGTCCGCATTTCTGGGGTCACTTGGTTACGAGATCTATGGATTCGCGTCCGCCCATCATCCTCATCTGAAGGTGACGGTGCTCTCGACCGGGAAGAAGTCATGATCTGATCAACGCCGGCATCACTCTGCTGGCTTACTGCCACAGGTCCAGTACTCACAACGAAAGTATCACTCCCATGCCCGGCTGATTCCGGTGTTCCTTGAGACGAAATTCCGGCAGCAGGTGCCGCGAATGCAATCAAAGATCTACCATCGGACATTGTCACGCAAGTATTGCACCACTTGGCAATGACAATGTGAGTAAGAAAATCGATCGATTCAATGTGAAGCGGGGTTCAAGACCTTTCGCTTCGAATCAATCTTGTCTCACAGCACGTGGGACAAGCAACGCAGGGTGTGTTGTCCCTTGGAAAAAGGGCGAGGGCTCAAGCAAGCTCGATCTTTTACCTGTTGCAGCTACGAGTCGCAATGGCGATTGTGAAAGATAGCATGCCCTTGAGCCAAGGTGGCAACGATGGTTGTAGTTTGCATGTTCATGCATTGATGGCCCTGTTCTGTTCGCATAAATTTTCCCTGGGGAGCTGCAAGTGTTCGTCATTGCACTTTTGTTTAATTTAAGTAGCACCTGAGGCATTAAAAAAACACGTTAAGACAACCTTTTCCTGCCGCGCACCAGTGTCAAAAAAATGTGCCAGCTGCCTTTGCTGGCGGTGCTGCCGCAGCTGTTGGCCTCAGAATGGAGCTCATTCCTTCTAGCATTAACTATTGTAAACCTTCGGGGGATCAGGACAATAAGTGAAAGCTCTTAAGATAACGTTTCTTATTTTCAATGCCCACGTCATCACGTGCCAGGATTTGGCACCTTTGGTGCCTTTTTACATGGATAGGCCAAAACAACTCATAATTGTTCTTGATCACTGGTTTTGTTTTCCCAAAATACTTGAAATCAAATCTAAAATGAAACGCAGGGATTCAGTGATCGGGATCTCGGAAACTAGAATGGCTTTGCGTCCCTGTACCTGGCGCCAGTGTGCCTCATGGAGGTTGCGCAATTCGGGCTCCCCAAAGCAAGGATGAGCTCCAAAGACACGGCGTATGAGAGTCCAGTTTGGTCCCGCTTCCGTCGCAAAGTCTCCAGCGCCAAAATCCTTTGATCTTGTTGGCCAAACGCCCTTGTGTTTTTGTCGCTACTTGCACACGCGACAGTTCCAGCTAAATCTGTCTGGCAGCCGCCTTCTTTGATCATAGGCAGGGCAACAATAGATTCGCGTCAGTTCTCCACGGTTTGCCACACAACCATGTCCTTACCAATGTGCCTGCGCTGAATGAAATTTTAGACATGTGAGGTTGGGCCGAGCTACTATGAACAGAACCCTCACAACCTGTGTTTCGAAGCCATTGGCCATTGCCGTATGCTTTGATCCTTGAGGGAGATACTTGGAGGGAACTTTTCTGTGATGGCGAACTAATATTCGCATCCACCTTGCCAGGAAATTAGCAGTTGGTTTTGAGACGAAATGCTTCTTCGCAGCAGCTAATTTCACTCTTCAGGGCTCTCTGGGGCTCCCGCGAATCACCAGACCTGGGCGAACAAATTCTGCCGCCGTGGAAATACCGTCTTGTTCCCGAAAAAAGAGAGAGAAAAGCAAAGCGTGAAGCTGGAAACAAATCAGATTGAGCGTGATGACCGGGGGCGGCTGGGGGTTGGCGAGACGCCGTTGCTTGCTTCATACCTCCCCTTCCTCTCTAGGCTGGCTGCTGCGCGTTCTTCCTGAGCCGGGCCAAACCCAGTGGTCAACAGGAAGAAATCGTCGGCACGTCACAAAGGGACAGTCGGTTGCATATATGCACTCCACGAGGTTGGAAGCCTGAAGCCAGTTGCATCTCAATCACACCAAAGGTTAACCTTTTGGGATCATGACGAAAAATGAGCCCAAAAAGGGGCTGGCTCTGGACGAGGTAATGATCCCTACAAAGCATCCCTTATCACTTGGTTTATTCCCAAACCCTGAGTCATTCGCGACCGAGCACCAAACAATTATTGAAGGAGAATAGTGCGTTTTAGGGTAGAGCTTCGAGAGCCAAGGCCAATGC